CCATCCATCCATCCATCCATCCTTCCTCCATCCTCTGTCCATCCATCCACACATCCTTCATCCAACCATCCACCCAACCACCCTTATATCCACCCATCCATCCACCCATCCTTCTATCCATCCATCATCCATCCTTCCATCCACCCATCCTCCATCTATCCATCCGTCCATCTAACCATCCATCCATCCACCACATACTCACCCATCTATCCACCCATGAAACATTTATTGAGTGCCTACTGCATGCCCCAGGAAGCTCTGGTGGCTTGTAATGAGTGGTACTACCAACCACAAGGTACATGGTTTGAATCCACCAACTGCTCCATGGGAAAAAGATGGGCAGTCAACTCCTTTGTGATTTACTGCCTCTGACTAACGTATAAAACAATAAAAACTGCATGTTATACATGGACTGGATACTTTTGGACCTGATGATGAGTAAAACACAGAGAAGTTTCTTTGGGAATTTCTAGCTGTGTAGAAAGGGTATTTAGCCTCTAGACTTCCCTAGTTATCCATGTCTAAAATGCAGATGATCATTATATCTAGACTGTTGAGAGCATGAAATTGGTGCACAGCAAACCTCTAAGTGTGATGTCTATCACAGACTAGGTGCTCAACAGCTCAGCTCTGGTTATTATTAGTGATTAGTGTCGATCACGTGATCCAGCAAAAAAGAGCACAATTAGAAAATGTGAGGGAGGCTTGGCAGGGACCCTGTGTCCTGAGCTCCTGCAGGTGGGAAAGGGTAAAGACTCTGACCTGAACTGTCTGGCTTTGAGTCTCAGCTCTGTCTCACAGCTGGATGAATTTGAGTGTGTGATTTTACCCTATGCTTCAGTTTCTTCATCTGTACAATGGGAATAATAATTTTCTCCACCTCATAGAGCTATGCAGGGCTGGTGTCACCAGGGCAGTAACTCGTGCTCTCATCCCCTTCTCCTTATGAAGCATATTGAATCCTTAATTCAAATTTACAATTGACTCAGCAGACCCTTCGCTGGATTTCCTGTCAATCATCCTGGAGAGTAAACAGATGAGGTCATTGGTGGACACGAACCACTAAAGAGGCACCACGTTGGGGCCGGTAGTACATGGACTAGGTCACCAGAGCTCAATACAGAACCGCTGTTGTTGTGTATCATTGAGTTAGACCCAACTCATAACTGACCCTCTAGAGGGTGTTCAGAGGCAGAAAATCCCTCAGGAGATTACTGATCCTTCTCTAGAGGAGCAGATGGTGGAGTTGACCCTTGTGCCTTTGGAATTGCAGTGCGGCTTCTTACCGCTAGGCCACTAGAGCCCCAAAGAGTCTTTAGTAATGCTTATTACCCATTTAATCACAGATTAATATGTGGTAAAGGCAGTTGAAATGTAACATTGTTTAGATTATATGAGTATCAGCAAAATGATTTTGTACACTCTTTCTACACGGAATTACATCATCAGTAACTGTTTTTTCCTTTTCTCCTTTTCCTTTACATCATTATAAAAAGTTATCAACACAGACTCAGAAACACTAGTTAACACTGTATTATAGATAAACCATCAGAAAATCTAACAAAATCAGCAACTGTGAAAATGTCAGCAGTAATGAAAAGTACCATGTGTAGTGTGTGAAGATAAAACTGTTTGATTTAAAGGGTTACAGCAATTGGATAATAATGAAAACTTGGAGTAGAGCATGTGAGAAAGTCCAAAGAGACAGATTTGTAGAATACAGAAAGAGCTTGATCAGACAATGTGATTAATTAATTACATTAATCAATGGCAATTACTGTTATAACAGAAAATGTATATGAATGATCCAGTGAAATAGTAATGACAATGTTACAAAACAAAATGAAGGTGAATGGAACAAAAGCCATGATTTGTACACTCTCACTCAAATAAACAAACAAAAAATAATTAGAAAAAGAAGGTTCATGCACACCCATGTTTATCGCGGTTTTGTTCACAATAGCAAGGAGCTGGAAACAACCTAAGTGCCCACCAGCAAATGAATGGATAGAGAAGCTCTGGTATAGTAACACAATGGGAAGGAACTCATGCAATATTATTCAAAATGGGTGACTCTGGAGGACAT